GCCACCCTGTGTGGCCCTGGTGGGGGGGGGGGGTGGCAGGCTGGGGAAGGATGCTTCCCACATCTCCTTCTCTGCTGTGCTTGGCTTGGGAGGATTGATCTCTGCCCAGGGCATGGTTCAGCAAGGTAGGGGAGGTCCTGCCAAAAACAGGCAGTGCCCTCCAAGCCATGAGGCAAGGGGTGTGTGGAGCCCATCACAACTCTGCTCAGAGCCCTACATGCAGTAAGTGCTCCAGTGTTAATGCTTGGAGGGCCCTGCTGTGCCCCCTCCCAGAGCCATCACTTCCTTGGACAGAGAGCACAGCTGGTGATGGATGGATGGATGGATGGATGGATGGATGGATGGATGGATGGATGGATGGCAGCCTACCTGCAGGGCTGTGGACATTCCAGAAGTCAAAGAGCAGCACTGCCGTGTCCGAGAAGTAGAAGGTCATCTGGAAGAGAGGCCAGGGAAAGGGCAGTGCTAGGAACCCCTTGGGGTGATGGGTGCCCACCCTGTCAGTGGCTCCATGCACCCACCACCCCAGAGAGATGAGCTCTGGTGCTGATGCTCATCTAGGGTTTTACCAAATGGTGCAATCTTTTTTCCTTAATTCCTGAAACAAGAAGAGGAACTTGGAGTGACAATTACAGTCACATTGACAGAGCTAAACTCTTCCCTTGACTGCTAGTAGGACAATTTTCACCTCCAGCAGCAGCTCCTGTGTGTCTGGGATGCAGAAAAAAAAGCCAGAGTTCACCTCTGTGACAAAGACATGCCCAGAACTCCATTAACCTGGATTTGAGAAGGGAAGGTCCACAGGGGACAGGCAGAGGCTGGTGGACACCACCCACAGCCTGAAGCAAAGCTGTTGGTTACAGCCCAACCACCTTCTGCCTCCCAGGGCCAAGAAACCTCCTCCATTGCCAGGGCACTCAAAATTTCCATCACTAAAGCACCCAGAGCCACAAGTGTGACCACCCAACCATGGGCACCAGGTCCAGGGGTGCCTCCCTGGCAGAGGAGCATCAGTCCCAGCAGTGTCCATCTATCCAGCCTGGGGCTGCCAGGATTGCTTCATGACACTCAAACAGGAGGAGCAAGCACTGCTCTTGTGTAACTTGTGTACAGAGTTCAGATCCAGCTGCCAAGTCTTGCTCCTTTTACCACAAAAAGCAGAATTCTGTTGGGTTTTTGATCCTCTCTTTGGTGGATCTCTCTGGGAAGTGTTCACAGGGCTCCTCTGCCACCCTGAGCTGCCCCTGGCTGTGTCCCCTCCGTTAGTGACTCCAGCAGATGTGACCAACAGGCTCAGCCTCAGCCAGAAATACCATCCAATAACCTGCTTAGGTGTTCATGCCACAGACCAGCTCTAATTACACCCTTCAGCTGCTCTTTACCCAAAGCACATTAGCATGTGTAATTGGCTCACCCTTTTAAGCTTCCTTTGGCCACAGATTAATGATAATTAGCCTTTAATGAAGCTATTTCTCCTTTACAGGCTTCACCCACAGGTCTGCAATGTGGTGTAAGGAGGAGGTGGTGGTTTTAGAGACGAGGCAAGAGAAGGGATGGGCAGAATCATACAGTCATTAAGGTTGGAAAAGCCCTCTAAGATCATCAAGTCCCACCATACCCCCAGGCCCCCACTAAACCATGTCCCCAGGTGCCATATCTACATGGTTTTGGAATGTTTCCAGGGATGGTGGTTCCACCATTTCCCCTGGCAGCTTGTTCCAAAGACCCAGAAGATCCCCTTGCTACACCAGATGTGAAGTCACACATCTTTGGCTGCCCATATGGCCCAAAAAGCTGCTCCTTGGGCCAACAGCTCCTCACTCATCTCCTGTGATTTCTCTGGAGATAGTATCTGGCTGGGCGAGATGTGGTGGCCAAAGATCAAGGGGGCAAGTCCTAAAACTCTCTGCACTCTTTGCAAGAGGAGGATTATGCTATCAGGGAGATGTGACAGGCCCAGGGATGTTGGCTGAAGCCTGTCCTCACCCACCTGCCCACGTCAGGGAGATGTAACAGGCCCAGGGATGTTGGTTGAAGCCTGTCCTCACCCACCTGCCCACGCAGCAAGAATTGAGCAGGTGCCCAGGTGAGGCTGCACCCAACTCCTCCTCCTCCACACCTCACAGGAATTTGCACAGGGAGAAAAAGCTGCTGGAAAACATGCTGTGCTGCCTCTGCTCATGTGCACAACGTGTTTGAGTGGCTGAATCCAGTTTTGGGGTTATTCTTAGGAAAACTAGTGGTGCCTGCACAAAGCAGTGTCAGACTGTGTCCCAACCTGCTGCTCAGGTCTGACTAGGCACTGCACGTTGGGACAAACCTGCCTTCCTGCAGCACCCCAACCCCTGCTCTGCTAAACAAACTCCCTCCCAGCCAGCCCAGCTGCTGGGGGCACAATAGCCCAGGGAGGTGTCCCCAGACTGGGATGCACCTTGGAGCTGATCCCTGGGCCTCACAGGGATGTTGCTTCCAGCAAACTGGGAGGGAGCCAGGAGACTTGAACACTGAATAAAATCCTGGAATGGTTTGAGTGGGAAGAGACCCTGAAGTTTATCTCATCATTCCAACCATGAGCAGGGAAACTTTCTACTAGCCCAGGTTGGTCCAAGCTCCATCCAACCTGGCCTGGGATACTTCCAAGGATGGGGCAGCCAAACACCATGTCTGAGCTCAGAGCACAAAGTCAAGCTGCTGCAGGAGGGTGAGTTAAGGTGTGTGCTGTGATTTGAGCTCTGCTGTGTGAGTCTGCACCCACGACAGCCCCTCCGTGGGTGGTGGGATGGGGGGAGGCAGAAGAGTGGGTGACTTTAGGCACCTTTAGGCAAGGATGTGGTGGCACAGCAGTGCAAGGAGCAGACAGACAGACAGACAGACAAACAGCCCATCCTGTGCACAGCTCGGAGGAGCCCTGCTTGGGACTGGGGATCAGCTGGGACACGGGGGGATAGGGGACACAGGACACGAAGGGATAGGGGACACAGAACTGCGAGCGCAGGGGAGTTAGCAGCGCCGCACCCTCCAGGATTATTCCAGGAGGATTTACGTGCTTTCAAAAGGAATTCAAGGACTTTCAGAAAGGATTTAAGGGCTTTCAGCGCACATTTCCAGCACCGCATCCCATCCCATCCCGCACATGGGATCTCCCGACACCCTCCCGGGTACCATCGCGGTACTCCCTGCGCTCACCTGCATGGTGTCGGTACCGAGCCCTGCCCGGGCCGTCCCAGCTGGGGCTGTCGCTGTCTGT